TTAAGAGTTATTTGAGCCCTGACTGGTTTAGCTCAGTGCATTGAGTACTGGCCTGCAAACCAAGGGATCGCAGGTTGAATTCCCAGTCAGGGCACATGCCTGGGTTGTGGGGCAGGTCCCCAGTAGGGAACACATGAGAGGCAAACACACACTGATGTTTCTCTCCCTCTCTTTCTCCTTCCCCTCCCGTCTGTCTAAAAACAAATAAATAAAGTATTTAAAAGAAGGATTGTTTGAAGTGTTTCAGAACCTCATTGTCCTAAGGGCTTACTGATTAAGGGAGTGGTTGTTCAAGGGCTTACATGGGAGTCATATGAGGCTGTTCTCTGGCCCCCTTCTTTCTCCTCTAACAATATGCCAGGGGACGAAAGGTCACCCTGGGGGTGAGGTTCCAGCCCAGCTTTGCCCACTGCTAAGTACCCAGGGCTTTCCACTCTTGTGACCATTTCTATTCTGCTTGTCTAACTGCCTAATGTATATATAATTCACACACACACATACACTCACAGTGGTACCTTGGTACTCATAAATTTGTTCCAATGAGTGGCAAGCAAGTGACAACTGATGAAGCATTTTCTCTTGCAGGGTGGTGTAGTGGTTCATACAAGTTCTAAAAAGTGTGATGAGTGGTGAGCAAGCATCAGGTGCTGAAACAGATTTTTCTTGTAAAAATGTGACGAGTACCAGGTTTGATGAGTTCTGCAGCCAACAAGTACTGAGGTACCACTGTGTATGTATATGTGTGTACATGTACATGCATATAAAATATATATTTGTATATAAAAAGAGAGATTAAATATATAATTCTTTTGTTTCCTGGGTTCAGAGGCATGGGAGCAGTAGAGTAAAAATGGCCACATAGGATCCTTGGTGGGTAGGGATTAGAGGGGATAGAGCCCCAACCATGGTTTGGGGAACCTGTGAGCTGGGCTGTGTGTCTGAAGTGGCCAAGTGGGGATGGGAGCATGGTCATCTCAGGGAAATCATGGCAGCTGGCCTTCCCCAGAGTGAGAGTCTCAAGAGAACCAAGCAGAAGCTGCCTCAACCTTCTCTGATTCAGGTTCAGAGGTCAAGTAGCACCTAGAGTTACACATGACCCACTAAGGCCAGCCCAGATTCAAGGGAAGGGGACAGACCCACTTCTCAGTGTGGAAAGTGTCAGACTTTGAAAACTTATTGTTAAGTTACAGTTTACCCTCTGGCCACACAATATTTGCATTTCTTTCACATGCAGAATTCACTCATCTTTTCCCTTAATCTCAAAAGTCTTATCTATTTTGCACCAGGCTCACTGTCAAGGTTCCCGACCACATCACCTCAATCAGATCCTTGTGTTGAGGAGGCTGTGCTGTTGGGGGCAGATACAAGAACTGTCCAGCACTTCCGGAGACAGGGAAGCAGGTGCCACCACGTGGGAGAGCAATAGATGAGTACTCAGACCTGCGCTGCCCTTTCCGGTAGCCACCGGCCACACATAACCATTCACTTAAAGGAGAATGAAAGAAACTGAACATTCAGTTCCTCCATTGCACTACCAAATTTTAAGCACTCAACAACCCACATGGTTGGTGACTACTGCACTGGACAGCACAAATGTAGAACACTCCCATCATCGCAGGAAGTTCTGTTGAACAGCACTGACTAGACAGTACAAGTGCAGGTTTGCCCCGTGGCCCAGAAATCCTCTCCTGAATATACATGTATATCTTAGTTTGGGGTCTCCCAAGAGCATGACTTGAGCCAAGGATACCAGTGGTTTCTTTGGGAGGTGACCCCAGAAAGCAGAAGTGAGTGGGGAAATTGGGATTGGGAGAGAAAAAAGCCAAAAATAGTGCAGAGTCTGGAATAGAGGGAGGCAGGTGAGGTACTTAAGGCACTTGCCTGAACCTGAAAGTGAGGGCCTCCTCAGGTTTTAAACCCAGACACCTCAGCTTTCCTGCCCTAGTCCCTGCCCTCAAAGGCCACTGCTGTGAGGAACTAGATTGAGTAATCCATACAGGGGCTCTCCAAGGACTTGAGGAATCATGGAGAACACACCTCAGAACCGACACACTGAGGAAAAGGGGAGCAGAGTTTGTTTCCTGGCTCCCTACCCACATCAGATGTGAATTGCCTTTGAGGAATTAATCCTGGTGCTTCCGACCTGTTCTGCATGCAGACAGAAGAAAGAATTCGAAGGAGAAGCAAAACAACACCAGAATACGAGGTGTGTGGGAACTACCTACCATGTCTACATGCAAGTGAAAAAAAACAAGCTGAGTGAATGTGGTGGGGGGCACCAGCTGGGGTGCTCTGATATACCCTAGAAAATTCCCCACAGAGAAGACGTGTGTGAGCCTTATTCTAATGGGGAGCTGAAGACAACTGAAGTGTGCCTCACTGGGGGACTAGATGAGAACAAATAAAACTTGGGTTGACCAAAAAGTTCATTTGTGTTTTTTCACAAAATGAAAGACCCATTTTTTATTTTCACCAATAACTTTATTGGTTTGCATATTTTGAGTATGTTGGCTGCCACCTGCATAGTATAGCATTGATTGTTCTCAATTAATGTCTATATTTGATCGCTATCAACTTCCACTGGTCTACCTGACCACGGAGCATCGTCCAGTGAGAAATCTCCAGCACGAAAGTTCACAAACCACTTTTGACACCTTTGATCGGCCACAGCACCTTCTCCATACACTGCACAAAACTTTCTGCATTTCACTTGCATTTTTACCTTTCTTTAAATAATAAAGCATACTATGTAGAAAATGTTGCACTTCTTCCACCTTCAATATTAAAATACCTACACAAAAATTCACCAATTTTAATAAATTTCTAATGTGTGCTTATATGACAGCTGTCACAATACAATCTAACAGAATTGTTCTGAGTGAAGTTAAAGACAACTAAGTGCTACTAGAGCCAACGTATGGGAAAAAACAAACAAACTTCTTGGCCAACCCAATGAGAGTGCTCTGGGGACACTGTGGGACACAGTGCAGTGGTGGGAGGCAGAGAACTCGGTGCACACAGCTATATAACATCTGAGAAATGTACTGCTAAGGTTTTCTTTTTTAAGAAAGAAGTAGCTCTGGCTGGTGTAGCTCAGTGGATTGAGTGCAGGGTGCAAATCAAAGGTTCAATTCCTGGTCAGGGCACATGCCTGGGTTGCAGGCCAAGTCTCCAGTGGGGGCTACGTGAGAGGCAACCACACGCAGATGTTTCTCTCCCCTTCCTTCTCTCTCACTTCCCCTCTCTCTAAAAATAAATTTAAAAGAAAGAAAGAAATGAAATGAAATTTATAACACAATCCCATTTATGTAAATTGGAAACATATACATGCACAAAATTGCAAATTATAAAAATACAACTTTGTAGCTGTATATCAAGTGCATTAAGGTGGGTGCCTGTGAGGGGAAAGAGTGGGAGTGGGGATTGGGCATGGTGGTGGGGGGGCAGGTAAAAACCTAGACGGTACCTCATGGGCCTGTTTGTGATGCTGTTATATCTGAAGAGTTTGATTAATACTCTTCTGCACCGAAGAGCCAAGAAAGAAATACAGTAATGAAACATAGAAATGCCCACATAAGAAGAGCAATTCCCTACCTGCTACACAAATATTATTACTGTGGGGGGGCTCGTAGGGGGGACAGGGGCTGATAGCAAAGCAACCAGACTCTGCCTGCCTTCTGCAAACCCTCCTCAGGGTCTTTGCCCCAGACAACCACTCCCATCCCAACCAAGCACTCCTAACCCCCGTGAATGAGGAGCTCCCCACCCTGTCATGCCACCCAGAGGGAAGGAAAAGAGAGTTAGCTGTCTGTGACTCCCAGGGGTCCCCAGCTTCTACTCTGACCATGTGCAGAATAGGGGGTATACACATGGGACTCCATTCAAAGCCCAGCTCTGCCATGAACCACCTGGGGGATCTCAGGCAAGTCACTTTGCCTTCCTGTTCCTCAGTTTCCTCACCAGTAAAATGGGGGATAATTTTGCAAATAATTACAGTGGTCCTCTAATAACATTTCATTCAGTCATTTTGTCATAATGGTTGTCAATTAAAAACAAAATTGAGCCCCCACTGGGGACACTGTCTCTGGGGACACTGCAGGTTCTCCCCACGTCTGCACGGGTTTTCTCCAGGGTCTGGGATTTGCTCCCACAGCCCACAGATGTGCTTACCAGGTGAACAGTCGTGTCCCATCTGAGTGGGAGTGGGTGTGTGTGAGAGGCCCTGCGATGCAGCGCTGCTGTCTTGGGGGGGCGCTGTCCTGGGGGGCACTGTCCTCTGCCCCAAGGGGTCAAATGGGCTCTGGCCATGCCACCCAGGACAGAAGAGTCTGAAAAGATGTTATCTGGCCTGTTTTTATGAATCTTTCTTAAACGATGTACAGCTCACATTTTATTTCAGTGTTTAATATTAGAAATGCTTTGGGTCTTCATTTAGAACTTTGGGGATGTCTTGTGACCAGAAACTTGCTGTAGGAACTTAACTCCCATTTATGTCAATCAGCCAGTGGTCAGATAGGTTTTGTTACACAAGTTACAAGAACCTATTGAGGACATGAGTGAGGACTTCCTGCACTCAGGAATGTTCGGAGCATAAAGTGAGTTAACAAAACACGCTTAAACCAGTGGGGGAAGCTCCCTGGCTGGCACTCAGTCATCCTCACCACCGTCCCTGCCCTGCTGGACAGCTGCCCATCCTTCTTCTGGTCACAGAATCAGTTAGGGGCTCCCCGAAGTCCCAGGAACTCTTAAACTAGGCTCGGGGATTTCTCAGGGTCCCACTTGGGATTGATTTCAGTTTCTGTTTCCTCCTCTTAGAGCACTGGACTCACCTGGCGCTGCCCACACCTGTGAGCTCACCTGGCTCAGCAGCGGGCCCCACCCACTCATGCCTTTTGAAATTGCAGTTTCCATTTGCACATTACACACATCAGCCACGATTGCTCATTTAGTGTGCTTAAAAAGCGGAGCCATGCAGCAGGGGAAGCAGTCGCAGGTGGGCCATGGCTGCAGCGTGGTTCCTGGTGATGGTGGCCTCGGGCCTGGGCTTGGCCAGAGCAGGTCCTGTCCCCACCCCCAAGCCCCATTCAACAGGGAGGGGCTGTGACATTGGCAAGTTCGAATATCTGCTACCAACGGAGTGGAATGCCCTCAAGAAAGCCAAGGATGCCTTGGTGAGTACCTATTGGTTTTCTTTTTCTTAATGGAGGTACAAATGATACACAACATTATATTAATTTGAGGTGTACAACATAATGATTTGATAATTGTATATGTTGCTAAATAATCATCACAATGCCTAGTTAACACCCATCACTGTACATAGTTACAGAATATTTGTTCTTGTGATGAGAACTTTTTTTTTGGCTTGAAGCTAATCCTCTTGTTAAATTCCCTTATTAATGCTAATAGTTTGCCATAAATTATTTTAGTTTTTCCCCACGTAGAGATATTTAAATGCAAATAACTATTTCATTCTTCATTCTTTTCTTTATACCTCTTATTTATCTTACCTTATTAAACAGACTGTAAGTCCAAGGTGTGTTGAATCGAAGTGTTAGTAGTGAACTTCTTTGTCTTATTCCCAAACTGAGAGAGAAAAGTGTTATTTCGCTATCCATTCATCTATTGGCAGGCACCTAGGTTGCCTCCATATCCTGGTTATTATAAGTAATGCTGAGGTGAACACAGCGGTGCATACGTCTTTTTAAATTAGTATTTTGGTTTTCTTCAGGTAAATACCAGATATGAAATTGCTGGATTGTGTGCAAGTTTTATTTTTAATTTATTGAGGAAATTCCATACTGTTTTCCATACCGGCTGCACTAATTTACAATTCACTAACAGTGCACTAGGGTTCCCTTTTCTCTGTATCCTCACCAGCACTTGTTGTTTGTTAACTTACTGATGATAGCCATTCTGTGTGGGGATATCTCATTGTGGTTTTAATTTGCATTTTCCTGATGATTATTAATGTTGAGCATCTTTTCATGTCTGTTGACCATTTGTATGATATCATTTGGAGAAACGTCTGTCCAGACCGGTGTGGCTCAGTTGGTTGGGGTTTGTTCCACAAAGTGAAGGGTCACTGGTTTGATTCCCAGTGAGAACTCATACCTGGGTTGCAGGTTCAGTCCCTGGTCAGGGCACATGCAAGAAGTGACTGGTCGATGTGTCTTGCATCAGTGTTTCCCTCCCTCTCTACTATCTGCCTTCCCCTCTCTCTAAAAATAAATAAAATATTATATTTTTTTAAAAAAGAAAATGTCTATTCTGGTCCTCTACCCTTTTTTAAATTAGATTGTTGTGGTGGGGGTGTTGTTGTTGTAAAGTTGTCTGAGTTTCTTATATATTTTGGATCTTAACCCCTATTAGATGTATCATTTGCAAATATCTTCTCACATTCCATAGATTATCTTTTAATTTTAGAATAGATTAAACATAATAGATTATGTTTAAGGTTTCCTTTGCTACGCAAAACTTTTTAGTTTGGTGTAGTCCCACTATTTTTTTGTCTTTTGTTGCCTTTGTCCAAAGGTGATATAGCCAAAAACATATTGCTACATCGATGTCAATGAGTTTATTGCCTATGTTTCTTCTACTAGTTTTATGGTTTCAGGTTTGCATTTAAGCCTTCAATCAATTTTGAATTTATTTTTGTACGTGGTATAAGAAAGAAGTCAAATTTCATTTTTTTGCATGTATCTGTCCATTTTCCCCAATACCACTTATTGAACAGACTGTTTTTACCCCATTATATATCCTTGCCTCCTTTGTCATAGAATTATTTACCATGCAAGTGAGGATTTATTTCTGGGCCTTGTATTCTATACCACTGATCTCTATATGTCTGATTTTATGCCAAGAACCATTTTCTTTTTTAAAAAATATATTTTATTGATTATGCTGTTACAGTTTTCCCATTTTCCCCTTTCATTCCCTTCCCCCCTGCACACCCACTCCCACCCAAATTCCCCCACTTTAGTTCATGTACATGTGTAATAAGTTCTTCAGCTTCTACATTTCCCATACTATTCTTGCCCTCCCCCCTATCTATTTTCTACCTACCGTCTATGCTACTTATTCTCTGTACCTTCTCCCCCTTTATCCTCCTCCCACTCACCTGTTGCTAACCCTCCATGTGATCTCCATTTCTGTGGTCCTGTTCCTGTTCTAGTTGTTTGCTTAGTTTGTTCCTGTTTTTTGTTTTAGGTGTGGTTGTTAGTAATTGTGAGTTTGCTGTCATTTTACTATACATGTTTTTTATCTTCTTTTTCTTAGACAAGTCCCTTTAATATTTCATAAAATAAGGGCTTGGTGCTGATGAACACCTTTAACTTTACCTTATCTGAGAAATGCTTTCTCTGCCCTTCCATTCTAAATGAAAGCTTTGCTGGATTGAGCAATTTTGGATGTAGGTTCTTGCCTTTCATGACTTGGAATACTTCTTTCCAGCCCCTTCTTGCCTGTAAGGTCTCTTTTGAGACATCAGCTGACAATCTGATGGGAACTCCTTTGTAGGTGACTGTCTCCTTAGCTCTTGCTGCTTCTAGGATTCTCTGTTTCATTTTAATCTTGGCTAATGTAATGATGATGTGCCTTGGTGTGTTCCTTTTTGGGTCCAAATCCTTTGGGACTTTCTGAGCTTCCTGGACTTCCTGGAAGTCTATTGCCTTTGCCGGTTTGGGGAAGTTCTCCTTTATTATTTGTTCGAATAAGTGTTCCACTTGTGGCTGTTCTTCTTCCCCTTCTGGTACTTCTATAATTTGGATGTTGGAGCATTTAAAGATGTCCTGGAGGTTCCTAAGCCTCTCCTCATTTTTTTGAATTCCCGTTTCTTCATTCTTTTCTGTTTGCTCATTTCTTTCTTCCTTCTGGTGCACTCCCTTGATTTGAGTCTCAGCTTCCTTTCCATCACTATTGGTTTTCTGTGCATTTCCCTTCATTTCAATTAGTTTAGCCTTCATATGTTCCTCTAATTTGTAACTAAAATCAACCAGTTCTGTGAGCATCCTGATCACCAGTGTTCTGAGCTGTGCATCTGAAAGGTTAGCTATCTCTTGGTTACTTAGATTTATTGGCTCTGGGGCTTTGAGTTCTTTTTCTGCTTGAGCCATAATATTTTTGGGGAGGGTCTGCGAGGGAACAATGGTGCTTGCTCTGCTCTCTGCCAGATTTCGGTCACTTCCCCCACTTCCCACAAGCAAACTGGGCCTTTCTGGTTCTGATTCCCGTGTGGTGGGCTAGTATACATTCTAGGACCCGGTGGGTCTCTTCAGTAAACTCTCCTGTGAGTCTGGGAGTCTCTGCCTATGCCTCAATCCCCACAGGTGTTTTCAATTGGTGTTTTGAGGCTTTTTTTCCACTGTCTTGCTCCCCAATTTCACCTGGTTTATCTGCACGAGAATGTGGGACCACCTAGTCAGCCAGCCGTCTTGTGTGCAGTGCCTCACTTCACAATTGCCACCTCACTGGGTCTGCCAGTTGCCACCCCAGGCCCTGGGTCTGCCAGCCACCTGGGTCCACCTGCTGCCTTCCACCGCGTGCCTGACATGCCTTTTGCCCAGTGCCACTGCTTTTTGTGCTGCGACCCCTCTCCATCTGGCTGCCCGGCTCTGCCCCGCTGGTCTGGATTAATGTGTCTATTTTATTCCCTTGGTTGTCCAACTTCTATACGGTTCAATTTTCTGCCAGTTCTGGTTGTTATTTTGTTTCTAAATTGTTGTCTTCCTTATTTTGGTTGTGTAAGGAGGCACAGTGTGTGTACCTACGCCTCCGTCTTGGCCGGAAGTCCCCAATACCCATTTGCTTTTGACTATTTTTGTTTTGTAATATGGTTTGAAATTGGGAAGCATAAAATCTCTCACTCTGTTCTTTCTCAAGGTTTCTTTGGCTATTTGAGGTATTTTGTGGTTCCATGTAAATTTTAGGATTAGTTGCTCTAGTTCTGAGAGGAAAGCTATTGGTGTTTTAATAGGAATTGCATTGAATCTGTATATCGCTTTAGTTAGTAAGGATATTTAACAATGTTAATCCTTTCAATCTCTGAGCGTGGCATATCCTTCTATTTACTTGTACCCTCAATCATTTCTCCAATATCTTATAGTTTTCAGTATACAAGTCTTCTACGTCTTTGGTTAAATTTATTCCTATTTATTTTATGCTTTTTGATGCGATTGTAAATGGGATTGTTTTCTTACTTACTCCTGATCATTCATTATTGATGTATAGAAACACAAAAAATTTCTGTGTGTTGATTCATATTTTGCAACTTTATGAAATTTACTTATTATTTCTAATAGTTTTTTGGTGGGTTCTTTAGGGTTTTCTATATATAGCATTATGTCATCTACAAATAATGAGAGTTTTACTTCTTCCTTTCTGATTTGGATGCTCTTTCTTTCTTTCTTTTTTTCTTTCTTTCTTTCTTTTTTCTCTGCTTACTGTGGCTAGGGCTTCAAATACTATGTTGAATAGAAGTGGTGTTAATGGGCTTCCTGGTCTTGTTCCTGATTTTGGCAGGAAAGCTTTCAGCTTTTCACCATTGAGAACAGTAATGGCTATAGGTTTATCATGTATAACCTTTACTTTGGTAAGATATGTTTCTTCTTGTTGAGAGATTTTATCATAAAATACCCCTGGGATAAATTCCACTTGGTAATGGTGTATGATCCTTTACTGTATTGTTGGATTCAGTTTGCTAATATTTTGCTGAGGATTTTTTGTATTTATGCTCATCAAGAATATTGGTCTGTCATTTTTGGGGGGGTAACTACTCTGTCTACATTTTTTTTTATCAAGGCAATGGTGGCCTCATAGAATAAATTTGGAAGCTTTGCTGCCTCTTTGATTTTTTGAAATAGTTTTAAAAGGGTAGGTGTTAGTTCTACTTTAAAAGTTTAGTAGAATTTACCTGCAAAGATTCTGGTCCCAGAATTTTATTTGTTGGGAGATTTTCTATTACTGCTCAATTCTATTGCTACTAATCAGTTTTTTAGATTTTGTATCTTCCTGGTTCAGTCTTGGAAGGTCATATAATTGTAGAAATGTATCCACCTCTTCTAAAGTGCCATATAACCATTCATATTATTATTAATTTTTAATTTTTTTAATTTATTTCTAGAGAGAAAGGAAGAGAGGGAGAAAGAGAGGAAGAGAAACATCAATGTGTGGTTGCCTCTCATGTGCCCCCCCTACTGGGAACCTAGCCCACAAAGAAGGCATGTGCCCTGACTGGGAATTGAACCAGTGACCCTTTGGTTCACAGGTGGGCACTCAGTCCACTGAGCCACACCAGCCAGGGCCTACTGTTGATTTCTTCTAGCATATTTTTTATTTTGGTTACAGTATCCTTCAGCTCTTTTGGGTTCTTTATTATACTTTCTTAGAGTTTGTTGAAGCGCTCCCTAAGTTCTTCTGTTCCATTCTCAAATTAGTGAGCATCTTCATGACCATTTCTTTTTCTTCTTTATCAGGCAAGTTACTTATCTCCATTTATCTTAGGGTTTGGGGGTTATTCTTCTTGTTCCTTTATTTGAAAGACATTCTTCCGTCTTCTCATTTGGTTTTGGTTTCTATGTTTAGATGAATTAGACAAAATAATTATCTTTCTCAGTCTTGATAAAACTGTACAAGAAACCTCAGCACAGGCTGCTGGTTTGGGTAGGCCAGCTTGAACCCAGAAAGTGCCTATGGAGTCCAGGGAGCTAGCCTACTGAGATGGAGCTGCTGCAGGTGGGGAGGACAGGTGCATGTAGTAATGCCCTGTTGATCCTGCTTGCCCACTTTGTTTGGGGAAAATAGGCTCCCTTCAGTGTTCCTTGGAACCTGGGGCAATGAGCCTGCAGGTAGGACAGAGAACCCAAATGGAGCCCCACCGGCCCTATCAGGTTGGAGAGGGACATAACCCATGGTGCTCGCTGGCACCTCCAATCCTGGAGAGTTCCCACAACTCCCAGAGAGCTCCCAGTTTCCCAGCCTTCCCTACTCAGTCTCTTTCTCTAGTTTGTTGTTCAGAAACTGTTCGGTCAGCCATCAGTTGTGTGTCAGGAGTAATTGCTCTCTATACAGGTGTATATTTCAATGTGGTCCCAGGAAGGGGAGAGTTCAGCATGCTCCTGCACTGCCACTGATTGGACCTGTGAGCCCCTACTGTTGTAGACTAGTCCCTAACTCTTCTGCTTCAGCCAAGCTGCAACCCTGCTACTGTGGACTAACCTCTGTTCTACTGCTGTAGTGTGACCTCTAGCTTTTCAGCTATGACTCATCACTACCTTTTCTGTTGTCAGTTAAACTCAAGTTCTTCTGCTAGACCTTCCTCCTTGCTTCGATGGTCCAGCCTCCTACTGAGTTGTGCTCTAACCTCTGCTCTTGCTCTCTAGGAAAACTCACTAAAAAACCAGAGCTGCAGCCTCTGCCTCTTCCCCAGACCCTGGACATTGACACAGCTACATGTGAGTTGGACCTGAGGTGCCCTTACCCTCTCCTGGACCCTCTCCCTGCCTCCTTAAGTGGCCCCTCGCCTCCCGGATCTCACCAGTACTTCCCTCTCTCTTGTCTCTCCTTGCATGTCCCTCTACAAGGGTTCCCCTGGCTCCATTCCTCCCCTGGGTCCCTTTTATCATCTTTTTGCCTGTTCCGCACATGTCCACTCTTACCTACTTTCTTCTTTCTATCCTCCTTTCTCCCTCAGGTCTTTGCCCCTTGCCCTGCCCAGTTTGTCACTGTTGACTCTCAGTAGTGATTCCCTGTTCCCCTCTCACCTGTTCTCCTCACCACCAACTCCCACCTATCCCCCTCGTCATCTTTCTTCCACTGATCTCTTCCCAACCTACACTCCTCCTTCATCTACCCTTCTTACCTATGCATCTAATTGTCCCCTTTTCACTTGCCTCCCTAACCTTTTCTCTTCTAATCTGTCCCAATCCCTTGTCCCTCAAACCTCTCTGACCCCCATGGGTCATCTTTCACTTGTCCCCATTTCACTTTTTCATCTGTCCCCTAACCTGTCTGCTCCCCTATCTTGGTGCCCCACCTGTATTGTTTTCATCTACATCCTTCTTTATGTATTCCCTCTCACCTGACCCACCACTTGTCCCCCTCACATGTACCTTTAGCACTTGCCCTCCTTCCCTGTACTCCCTACCTGAGCCTTCTTGCTTACCTTTCTCACCTTTCCACCTTACCTGCCCCCTCATCTCTACTTTCTCACTCCAGGTGTGGGAGCGCCCTGTGGTCTTGGAGGCTGAGCTGGCCTTAACACTGAAGGTCCTGAAGACTGTGGCTGACTCATCCCTGGAGGACATCCTGGACCAGCCCCTTCACATGCTGCGCTACATCCACACCAAGCTTCAGGCCTGTGTGAGTGCTCAGGGACCCAGGTCATGTCTGTGGTGTATGTCCCCAATTGTCCCAGGCCCTGGTCACATGACACTCTCCTCTGTCCACAGGTGTCAGCTCTGCCCACCTCAGGCTCCAGGCCCCTCCTCCAGCACTGGCTTAACCAGCTCAAGAGAGCCCCAAACAAGGTAGGTTATTGGAGGGGAGGATGGATGCCTGGGATCTGAGTAAGGGGATGCCTGGGATCTGGGTAAGGGTAATGCTTGGGCAATGGGAAACCATGTTCCCATCTCTCACAGGTGTCCCAAGAGTGCCTTGAAGCCACTGTCACATTCAACCTCTTCCGCCTCCTCAAACGGGACTTGAATTGTGTTGCCAGGGGAGATCTGTGCATCTGAGGACGTGGACCCACCCCCAGCTCATCTGGGAGCCCAAAGCTTATTTATACACTAAGTCCCACCCCTGCCTTAAGTTATTTCCATCCATCCCTTATTTATGGAGATGTAGCCCTGACTCAGGTTCAAAAGAAATACTTATTTTTCTACTTTTATACAATATATGTATATGTTCAAGTAAACTATAAGGAATTGGAACATCCATGAGTAGTGAGTCCTTGAGCATGTGTGTGACTGTGTGCCTGTACTGAGTGCAGATGTCTGTGTGGTGCAGGTGAAATTAGTGATGGTTGTGTATATTTATGTGTGCCGGACTTCTGAGACACATCTGTGTGTATATGTATCCAAGTGAGTGTCTGCATGAATCTGAGTCTAACTGAAGGTGCATAATGGCGTATTTATGCCCGTGTCTGTGCAAAAGTGTGTGAGTATATGCACAGGTTTATATATCTCTCTGTCTCTTCCTGATTGTGAACTGAATATCTCTCTTTTCCATGTGGACCTAGGACAGATAAAGGTCTATACCAATCAGGATGCTTTACATATAATAAGAATCAAAAACCAAACTCAAATAACTAGAACAAAAATGAGTTTATTACCACACATAAAATGTCAGTTGGCAGGGAAGTTCTAAGACTCCTTCTTTCACTCACTCAATAATGTCATTGGGACACCAGGTTCTTTTCATTTCTTTTGACTGATTCTTGTTCTGGTTACCTCATGGTCTCAAGATGGCAGCCACAGCTTCAGCTGCCACATATAAACAACACTCTCCAAGTAATAACAGAATACTCCAAACAGTGGAGTAAACAATAACCATCTTATTATCTTCATTGATTCTGTGGGTCACGAATTTGGACAAGGCCCAGTGTGGACAGCTGGCCTCTGCTTCACAAAGTTTAGGGTCATAATTCTTCTGCAGATCCTAGAAGCAAAGAAAACCTTTCACAGAAACTCACTGTTGGGTATACATCCTTGTCTCATTGGCTAGAATTTAGTCATATGCCCAAGCCTAACCCAATCACTGGCAAGGAAGATGTAATTACAAAGATAATGTTAGACTAATCAAGACCCTGCTCAGAGGCTAGGGGAAACGTGTCCCAGGGAGAGTGAGTACTTGAGCAAATTTTAGAGTTTGGTCAGCAAGGAAAAAGTGAGAGATGGACCTAGGAAGCAGCCTAAAATGGCACAGGTGATGAATCTCTTGCGGGACTGAATGCAGTAGCCCTCCCCCCCCCAACAGGAGCACTGTTTTTATTGTTAAAATACTGAAATGCTTCCATAACAGTTGTCAAATAGCTATTTCCTCAATCCCCCTAAGCAAACCTACCTGCCCCCTGAAGCCCCTACACCCCCTCATGATTCAGAAATGAGAGAATTATAACTTCTGGCCAAGATGGAGGTGTAGGTGGAAATACTGTACCTCCTCACACAAACAAATTTAAGGACAACAAAAATCTAGAAACAAAACCACAACCAGAACAGACAGAAAATTGAACTGTACTAAAGTCCAACAACAAGGAACCATTCATACAGATCAATAAGAGGGGCGGAGTCAGCGGCCAGCAGAGAGGGGTCCCAGCAAGAAAAGGTGGTGGTTGGCGACCAGGGTGCTGGGAGGAAACAGGCAAACCCAGTACGGGGCGCAAGGCCATTGGCTGACAGCAGACACACATTTGTACACAGATAAACCGGACAAAAAAAAAAGGGGGGGGGCAGTGAGACAGACTGTGCAACCCAGGGCCCCAGTGACAGGAAATGAAGCCTAAAAGCACCACTTGAAAACACCTGTGGGGGTACAGGTGCCAGGAGAGGCTCCAAGCCTCACAGGAGAGTTTGTTGGAGAGACCCACAGGGTTCTAGAATGTACACAAGCCCACCCACCTGGGAACCAGCACCAGAAGGGCCCAATTTGCTTGTGGGAAGTGGCAGAGGGGACCGAAATCTGAGAGAGCAGAATAAGCACCATTGCTCCCTTTCTGACTCTGCCCCCACATACAGCATCACAACCCAGCTACTGGGTTGACCCACCAAGGTGAACACCTAAGGTGCCCCTCATATGTAACAGGTGCAAACAGACAAAAAAAAAGGCTCAAAAAAAGACTAGATCAAAGCTCCAGAGACAATACTTTTAAGTGACCAAGAAATAGCCAACCTATCAGATGCATAGTTCAAAACACTGGTGATCAGGATGCTCACAGAACTGGTTGATTTTGTTCACAAATTAGATGAAAAAATGAAGGCTACACTAAGTGAAATGAAAGAAATGAACAGGAAACCAATAGTGATAGGAAGAAAACTGGGACTCAAATCAATGGAGTGGACCAGAAGGAAGAAAGAAAGAACCAAACAGAAAAGAATGAATAAACAAGAATTCAAAAAAATGAGGAGAGGCTTAGGAACCTCTAGGACATCTTTAAACATTCCAACATCCAAATTGTAGGACTACCAGAAGGGGAAAATAAAGAGCAACAAGTGGAAAGCATATTTGAACAAATAATAAAGGAGAACTTCCCCAATCTGGCAAAGGAAATAGACTTCCAGGAAATCCAGAAAGCTCAGAGTCCCAAAGAAGTTGGACCCAAGAAGGAACACACCAAGGCACATCATAATTACATTAGCCAAGATTAAAATGAAGGAGAGAATCCTAGAAGCAGCAAGAGCTAAGGAGATAGTCACCTGCAAAGAGTTCTCATCAGACTGTCAGGTGATTGAGAGACTGTAAGGTCTCTCCAAAGAGACCTTACAGGCAAGAAGGGGCTGGAAAGAAGTATTCCATGTCACGAAATACAACTGTAATAGCATAATCAATAAAATGTATTTAAAAAAAGAAATGAGAGAATTATTGCCTGAGAAGGGGTTGGAGGAGGTGTTCCATGATCTGCTCCCATGTGTGGCCAGTGTGCCTTCTGACAACAGTGTAGTTGTTAAATAGTTTGGTGGCATCTCCAGCTCATGCATGGTATGTGTTGTGGTCTTTGAAAACTGGCCACCAAGTCTTTGACATTCCTTCCTTCAAAAGGTAGAGTCAATGCTCTCCTCTCATTGAACCTGAACTTGTGACTTCTTCATTCAGTAGAGTGCAGTGGAAGTCAAGTCATGGGACTTCCATCATCAAGTCCACCTAGCACTCTCGGAACACACATTCTCAGACTGCCCCTGTTGGAACCCACCCTGCCTGCTGCAAGAAACCCAAACCACAGGGAGGGGCCACATGAGCACACTCTGGTTGGCAGTCACAGCTGAACTCAGCTTTGAGGTCACCCCAGCTCGGTAACCAGACACATGAGTGTTGAAGTGTCCATGATTCCAACCATCTCCACTGTGCTGTGATCAAGTTCCTGACCCACAGAATCTGAGAGCACAGGAAAGTAGTTTTCGTTTTATGCCACTAAGTTTGGATTTTTATGAGGCAATAGATAATTGCTAAACTGTGACATCCACCAGCCCATCACCATCCCTCATGAGGTGTGTCACAAGAAATTTATTATCAAGAGTAACCCACTGAGGTTTCTGAATGGTTGAACATCACAGAGGCTTCAGAATCATCCCCATAATTCTATGACTGTCACTCCTTTGCATTCTCATGTTTTCTCAATTAGGGAATAAAGGCTGGAGTACAGCCATACACTGGAAATGACATACAATCCCACAGCCACCCCCACTGCAGTATATGGATTGTAGGTGTCAGAACCCCAGTTTGGTTGTGAGCAGCAAGGTGCCCAGCCCAGGGCATAAAAATATTCCCTCTCCCTCAGCACCTGCTTCCCACACAGACTTTCTTGCAGTTTGGAGTGGTTTTAGGATTAAACAGCTTCAAAATTGAGTTAATATATGTAAAGAATAAAACAATTTTTGAAACAGGTTAAGCCTCATATATGTGTTTACTGCTGTTACTCTTATTATTTTAGACTTGTTTTCTTCTTTGACACAAAGAAAACTTTCACTTGTTCCCTTTCTTCCTATTAGTTCTTTGGTATGAGGATGTGAAGCCTGGGGCTGTGGTGGCCATTTTGTGACCATGAGGCAACAAGCCTAGCATCTGACTCCATCCTCCTCACGAAGGTAAAACTGAAGGGTAGGAAATGGGTCCTTGGTGACGTCAATAAGCCATTACACCAAACCTCCAAATGCTCTAATTCCAAAATTCTTATTAAATAAGAACCAAATGTCTTCAGTCATGTTAATTGGGTTTTCTGTTTGCAGCCAAGTGAATCCTCACAAATCCATCTTTGCATGCCCGGCACTGAATCCAGAGAATGTGGTCAATTAATGCTTGATAAAAAAAAGTTGGGCTCAGTACTTCCGCCAAGATGGAGGCATAGGTGGATATCCGTGCCTTCTCACACAACCAAGTTTAGAGACAACTAAATATTAGCAACAGAAAACACAGCCAGAACACAGAAAATTGAACTTTTCGGAAGTCTGTTAACAACAAATTCTTCAGTCTGACCGATAAGGGATGAAACCAGCAGCTGGTAGAGCGGGGTTGCACAGGAAAACTCGGTCGGACGGACTCAGGTGCGCCGAATCCAGGCGCAGGGTTGGACCTAGTGAGCGACGGAGCGACCAAGCGAGCGACCACAAGGAAACAGCAAGGGAGCAGGGCTGTGGGTTGACTGTGGTCGTGCATTTGTGCGCGGATAGACGAGCGAGGGAGTGGGCGATTGGCTTGGCCAGGGATCCAGCAGGTCCGCGAGGCCAGCGGCACGGAGGGCGCCGCCATTTCCCTGCTCTGACCCCACCTCCACATACAGCGTCATAACCCAGTGACTCTGAGTGGCCCGGCCCTCGTGAACCACCTAAGGTTCTGCTCCACAACCAGCGGTGCAAAACAGCAGAGGGTGCCACCATTTCCCCACTCTGACCACGCCCCCACATACAGTGTCACAACCCAGCGACCTGGGAGTCCAAGGTTCCGCTCCTCACACTTAAAGGGCATGAACAGACCAAAATTGGCTCAAGAAGATCTCCAAGCCCCAGAGCCTATAAATCTAAGCGAT